TAGGGAACAAAAGGATAACACAAATCTATATTATTATTGGTAAAATGGCATGACCTATGTATATAAAAAAGATTTGAGTGATAATCCAGAATTAAAAAAGTAATCTCAATAGGAATACAATATCCTGTTGGTCGTTAAAAAGCCGTAAACGTATTTAAACAGAATTTGTGCGCGATATGGGAATAATTGTTATCGTTAAAGTTTATTCTCCGTGATATGATCTCATGAAACAATATTGAATCTTTCAATTCGTTTCGTATCATAAATCAAATAATGGAGACCATATTACAGAACCCTCAATCGAGTTTTATATTGAATAGGTAATAACATTAAAGTTTTAATATTTTAAAATTCACGTGTTATTCGAAGGATATAATACATGTTACTAACTCTGCCAACAGTAAAATCTACTTGAACATAAGATCTCAACATCATTTTGTCGTCAAGCAAAGTTACTATATTACACTTATTCATATCGAATGTTAATCCGTTTTAATTACATCAATTTTCAATTAGTATTCAGATCATCTTCATGTTTACAGATATTGGTTTTGGATCGTTTGCATATATTTTTGATTATTATTGTTGTTTCAAAAGCCGAATTACAATCTGTGTAAACAACATTAATTTGCCTAAGTTCTGGCCTTGTCCTTTAGTTTATCTTTAGAAAAAGTGATTTCTTTCAAAACCTAAAACGCATCTGTATTACAGCGGTTAACGTTATGTTCTTAGTATTAAAAACTGACCTAAAAATATAAGTACCATTATTAGTAGTTATGTCATCTAAATACATGGAATTCTGTAATTTAAACAAGCGATTTCTGCTATTAAGAAATTTCCAAAAATATATAGAATTTTCTTGAATCTCATTCTAAGACCGATCCAGGTATAAAACTATTCATCATTATCATAAGGTCGCCAGTCCTAGGACTGGTTGGATATGCACCTGCACTCTTATCCTGAGCTAATCTTCGCATTTCCTCTATACTAGAACAACCTGAATCCTTAACTATTTGCGAACAGTAATTTAATCCAGGTGTACCTCTACTCCTCTTAACTCCTGTTTCTGCCTTTAAGATGTTTCTGAGTAGCCCTTCATGCTTGAGAAGGTGTCCTACTAATGTCCTATTGCTATATCGCCTATTTCTTCTTGACTTCCATACTCCTCTGTTCTCCTATTCTTTCTAACACCTCTTCGAATTTCTAAATTTCTTTTTATTGAAGACGATTCCATTTACGACCCTGCGCTATCTTCTGCTTTATATACATACTACTTCTTCCGTCCTGACTTATCTGACTTCCTAGATACCTGAAATCAGCCACTTCTTCTAATCTTTCATCTTCTATCTTTGCATTCGCTCTTTCCCTTGTTTTTCTTCCCTTGTATACCAGTATTTTTGTTTTACTTTTATTTATCTTTATACAATACTGTTTTGTCAACCCCGCTTCTATTTTATTTAAAGCTCCTCCTTGCTAGATGCTAATACTGCTATATCACTTGCAAATGTAAGCATACTAATTTTTTGCCCCTATATATCTTATCTATGCCTATAGTTGTACTGTCTTTAATGATTATCGATGTATAGATTAAAAAGTAGCGGGGTGACAGTCTGCATTCCTGTCTGACTCCCTTCGTAATATTTACACCTCTATAAAACTATTGCAAGATATAAAATATCATACATTTTTGTTTATAACAAACCAACCATATTGTCAATATTGAGACTGTTATCGTCAATAAATGACCAGTGTAACTTATAAAGATAAGCAGATGAAATATGATAATTACATTTAGAAAAATGAAAATTGATAAAATCAAATGCAAGTTTCTTTGAATATGATAAATTAATGTTAAACGCCTATTACATGAGTCATCATCTTCATTTTCACCACCAAGTGATGAAGTGGTTGGGGGAAGGGGAATTATGGGTGAATTAACCAATTTTATACCTAATGAATTTTTTCCAATATTGATACGAACATCACAAATCATAAATTTATAATTAATATTGCTAACAGTTCTTAGTTCAGAAATTAATTTTCGTTTACTAATATTA